TAGTGAATTCAGTTGAGGTGAATTCACCCCCTCTATCTGTCCGTAGACACTTGACACTTAGCCCTTTCTCCTTTTCCACCATTCTTTTGAAAAACTGGAAGCAATGCAGTGCCTCACTCTTTGCTGTCAACAAGTACACCCATGTTTTACGACTAAAATCATCAATAAAACATAAAATATACCTCCTTCCACTATTTGATATGGGAGAGATGGGCCCACAGATGTCTGCATGAATGAGCTCCAAAGGCTGACTTGCTCTCCACGTACTTCTTGTTGGCATGTTATTACGATGCTGTTTACCTTGAATGCAGTCTGTGCATGTGATATTTGAGGTTTGAAGCTGAGGAAGTCCACAAACCATCCTCTTCTGTTGCAACGTTCTCAATCCCTTGTAGCTTAGGTGACCATATCTTTGATGCCAAAGATAAAAGGGATCCTGCGAGCTTGTGTGAAGACACCTTTCTGGTGGGGCACTTGTAGAGACTGGAGTCTGAGCTAGCAGTATAAACATCCTGTTCTTACTCATCTTAGTCTGAATAATCAGACCCTTAGTCGGATGATATATTTTGCAGGCTCCTTCTTTAATTAATATAGCCAAGCCCCTTTCTTGAAGTTGTCCTATGCTCAAGAGATTGTTTTTGAGTTTTGGAACATAGTACACCTCATTGACAACATGATTGATTCCATTTAAAAACAGCGAGACACTTCCCTTGCCAACCACATTCATCCTACTGTTGTTCCCCAATTTAACTGAATGAACAAAGCTTTCATCTAGGTTTGTGAAGATATCCCGATCGCCACACATGGTTGGAACATCCGGAGTCAAGAAACCAAGCATCAGTCCGTTCATGTACCTCAACATATGACATCAACAACATATCTTCTTCATTCACTTCTGCATAATTAGCCTCCTTATCCCATTTAGGACATTCATACTGGAAGTGCCCAAGATTATGACACTTGTAGCATTCCACCGTATCCTTGTTGAACGCCTCTTGGCCTCCTCTTCCACGTCCTCGTCCTCTATAGTTACTTCTTCCACGCCCTTGTCCTCTATGATTGTTGAAACCTCCCTCAGTTTTGGCATCAGTTGTTGCCTTCAGAGCTTGCTCCACACTGCTACTTCTGTGAAACTTTTGCTCATGTACAGTGAGCGAGCTTTGAAGCTCATCAATGGTAATTGCATCCAAGTCCCTAGATTCCTCAATCGAACAAACTATATAATTAAATGTTCGTGAGAGACCGCATGATTTTTTCACAGATCGTGACGTCAGTCATAGGCTCCCCATACACTCTCATCTTGTTTGCAACTGTCATCACTCTAGCAAAATAGTTAGTGATCGTTTCACTAACCTTCATCTCAAGTGTCTCAAAGTCTCTCCGTAGGGCTTGAAGAGTTGAGCGCTTCACTCGTGCATTCCTTTCATATTTCGTCTTCATGGAATCCCAGATCTTTTTGGAGGTGTCCTTTTCCAACATCGTCTCTAGGATGCTCCTATCAATTGCCTGGAAAAGATAGTTTTTGGCTTTGAGATCCTTGAGTTTCACTGCATCAAGCTTTTTCTGTCGTGCTTCTGATATAGGTTGCGCCCCTTTTGCTGGTTCTTCATAACCAGTTTCAATCAAACTCCAATACTCCTTGCTGCGAAGGAAATTTTCCATGAGCATGCTCCAATGGTCATAATGACCACCAAAACGTGGAATGGAAGGCTGCACGAAGCTTCCTTCAGAAGTCATTTTTCCTCTCTTTCTCTCTTGTGTTTGAAGTCACTCAAAAGCTGCAGCTTTCCGGTCCTCAGGCCCCAGTGAGGGGCTCTGATACCAGTTTGTTGGGAACCAGAACAAAAATACCAAGAGCAATACTGCAACTGACTCAAGCAAACTGGGAGAATAACTTAATTATTGAATAGAAACGTTGGCTATTATATAGCCTTACATAGTTAACGAAACCCTAAAAAACAGCCCACTATCCACACTAACGGAAAGTGGTAACGTGCACGAGGAAATAGTCTACGTAGAACTAGTCTTCCTACATAATAGGAACTTATTGAAAAACAAAACAATCCTAAGTGATAGAGTCCTACAACGAAAAGGACAATCAAACTTATCAATTCAATACAACGAACAAGAGCTGCTATGCAACCTTTTAAGTTCTACAGAAAATTGCATAGGTGATATCCGTCTTGCCTTAACAAGTACAATGGAGAAGTTACAACTCAAACTGTTAAAGTTTTCCACCAATCTTTGTGCACCATTGATGGTGATGCCAGTTTTAGTTGCATGCCCACATAAAATCTGCCAAAAATATACATATGTCAAGATTTTAACTCCCTTTGTGCACCATTTATTCCGCTAACGAGTTTGATCTTTAAGTTTCTTTTGTTGGAAAATTTTGATCTTGAAGTCTGGCACACATGCTTTTGCAGGGAAGATGTATGAGATTGGATCGTCTGGAGAAATTGAGTGCTGCTTATTTTCCAGATTCAGACGAAAGATGGGTACTTCCTGGATTTGAGTTGTGAAGGACTAATGAGATTGCTCTGATGGGGAGTGTTCCCCGTAACTGATTCGTGAGTAAAATACTGTTTCTCTGGACGCCTGATTAGTGAAAAGTCTTACTTTCATAGCTCCTTCCAATTTTTTCAATATATTGGTCCCACTAAGTTGATTATTTCAAATTTTGAATGTATAGCTCACTATTTGGTGCCCCCTGATCTGAAGTTTTCAGGTTCTGTTGAAATTTCCTTTCTTGAAACTAACTATTGTGTAAATTGATGAACATCCATCGGATACATTTTAAATTAGGCTCTAATGTGCTTCAAACTCAATTGAACTTGGTTACTGGCTTTTCTTGATCTTAACCAGGTGATCCATGGTTCTTAAATTCTCCAGAAGAATCGCTGGAATTCGTCTTGCAGATGAAGGTTTCGATGTATGGGTAGGAAATGTGTGTCAAACACATTGGAGTCGGTCACATCTTTTGTCAGAAAAGAATAAGATTTATGCTTTACTGTAGGATTTTTGGGATTGGAGTTGGCAGGAATTGGCTAGATTTGATGTCAGAAATGATACGCTGCATATATTCGACAAGCAGCTGCGAAGTCTTTGTTGTTGGACATTCGCAGGTCTTTAGACTCTTTACACCTCTTCATCTACTTCAAATCTCCTTCCCTTGCTGCTACCTTTGGTGTTTACTCCATGTATTCATGTTATTAGGGAACAATCATGTCTTTAGCTGCTCTCACCCAGCCGGATATAGCTGAAAAAGTGGTTGAAGCCGCCGCTCTTTTCTGCCTAATATCATACTTGGAAGCATATCACTTCAGAATTTATCTTCTGTACATTATATGCAGCGAATGGGTTGTCACCCTTTTGGATTCAATATGTGATGGCTATGTTGACTGCTTGGAGTGGTTGTATTTGATTTTGCTTTTGATTGTCGAGGTTTCAGTACTATGTTCTCCTGTTGTATGTTTTTTTGTTTTCAGAGTAATATAATATGGGCGTGAGGGCCTAGCCCCCCAGCTTCGACTGGGTTCCAGCCCACTTTAAATATTTCTTTTTAATTTATGTTGTTGTATTGGAAAAGGGCACATTATTCGCTCCAAGCACCAAAAAATTCAGGACCGGCACTAGTCTAATATCCTAGTGGAGAAGCGTTTGAGTTCTATTCATGCGTTCCGAGTTCGAAATTCCCCCTCTTGTAATGTAGTAGTTTCAAAGTCTCCTTAATATATATGTATGTATGTATTGGAAAAGGGCACATTATTCGCTCCAGGCACCAAAAAATTCAGGACCGGCACTAGTCTAATATCCTAGTGGAGAAGCGTTTGGGTTCTATTCATGTGTTCCGAGTTCGAAATTCCCCCTCTTGTAATGTAGTAGTTTCAAAGTCTCCTTAGTATGTATGTATGTATGTATGTATGTATGTTGTTTCAAAGTCTCCTTAGTATGTGTGTGTGTGTGGGCGTGCAAAGAATTTGTCTAATTTTGAACGTGTAAGAAATGAAAATGGTTAACTGAGTCACTCATTAAAAGTATTAATTCCACACTTGATCATCTTATATATGAATGAGAATGTATCATTTTTATATTTTTTTTTATTATGAACAATATTTTACACTAATATATACATTAAAGAGAGGGAAAAATGTTCAAACTCGAAACATAATGAGTTAAAAAATAAACCTCATCATCAGAACAATTCATCACTTGCAATTCATAATGTTTGCATGAGGCAAGTAACCCTCTCAGCAATGGCGGCTCTGGAGGAGGACAAAGTATTCGATCACACAGAACCTTGATATCTCAAAGACAATCATCGCACCTAAGGCCATCTCCAACCGACCCAACCAAAGGGCCATAGGGCTAAAAATAGCTCAGAATGACACGAAAACCGTCTTCAAACGAAAGCTAGGCTAAAGGGCTTGTGGCCCCATCTGGCCAAAACCCCCAAATCAAGCCAACGGACTGGCCATTTCCAATCAGCCAGTCAGCCCTCCAGCGGCAGAATGTCAAGCTTGACTTTATGGTAGGTGCAACAATACCACTTTTTTTTCGTTATTGTAGCAAGTGGCACTCAAAATATGTCAAAAACCTTATTTTAATACGGTAGTTTAATGTAATTAATCATATTAATTCAATTAAAATAATAAATTATTGAGGGGATTATGTTTTGTTTATGGCCCTTTGGCCATCTCGATTGGAGATGCGTTTTTTGTCAAAAGACTATCTTTTACCCATGACTCTTTGGCTCCCTTGGTTAGGGATAATATAAAATATGACCTGCATTGTTTATTAAAATATAATTTCTTACAGAATTATAGAGCTAAACATGATATTTTAGATCTAATTCGATTAGAGATGGCCTAACCTTATGCTTCCGACGTTTATCCTCCTATAATAAAATTTTAAATCTGAAAAACAAGGGAAAAAAAATAAGAGAAGAATCAGCCACTTCCCTCCATTTTTTTTTTTTTTGCCGGTCGGTCACACTCTCTCTCTCTCTCGCCCTCTTGCTCTCCTAATCCTAGAGTTCGGTTGTTGACCAAAAAAGAAAAAAAAAAAAAAAAATCCCAGAGTTCGGTAGTTGACAAGTGTTCTGCACATGTTCGGTGCTTCAAGATTTACGTTTGTTTTGTCTCCACCTGCACCATCTCCATTTCTCAGAGAGCCTTCTTCTCTGCTTCTATGGAATTTACCAGCGAAAGAAACCTGAAGAGAAACAGAAAGCTCTGCCTTCTGGTTTGAGAGAGAGAGATGCTCTGCTCCAGCAGACTCTTGGCCGTTTCTTTCCCCGTAAATCGGTGCAGTCCGTACGAACTGCATAGCGCCGGCTGCTCCAAATTCAGTTACCAAAGAAGCCCCATATCAACAAGCAGCTCCAGATGGCGATCCCTGGCCATGGCTTCGGAGCCCGACACCTCCTCTTTCGCTCCGTCTGTCGATTCTGATCCCAATCCCTCCGCCGATACAAGCCCCGCCGGGTACTCCCCCCTCTCTATCTAGGAAATTAACAGAAAATGGAAATTTAAAGTTCCAAGCTTTGGATTGTTACTTTGCACTGTGAAATTTATGAGATTGCAGACAGCTTACTGGTCTTTGAAAGTTTGTAACTTTATGTGAAAAACCCATGTGATTTATCTGCTGTTGATGTTAATTAACCCAAAAATTATACGGAAATTGCTTTGTTGCCTGTAATTTTTAGTTTTTACGTGGTTAATTGTGCAGATTTTGTATCATAGAGGGGCCTGAAACAGTGCAGGACTTTGCCACAATGGAGCTGCAGGAAATTCAAGATAATATTCGGAGTCGGCGCAACAAAATTTTCTTGCATATGGAGGAGGTGAGAGCAATTGCTTGTTGCTACCACTTTCTCAGTTGAGCATGTTTTAAATTACTCTCCAATTTCCATTAGAAATGTGTTCTTTAAGAATGAGCTTCGATATGCGTAGGTTCGCAGGCTGAGGATACAACAGCGGATTAAACGCGCAGAGCTTGGAGCGGTAAATGAAGATCAAGAAAACGAACTTCCTAGTTTTCCATCATTCATTCCCTTTTTGCCTCCCCTGGTAAGCTGCTGCCCCCGCCCCGGTGAAGAAATGTATTTCCATGGTTAATAAATGTTTCAGTAAACTTGGCCGTTTCGTACCCCCGATATTTTTACCTGTATTTTGTTGTAGCCTTTTGTTGATTCATAAAAAATCTGTGAAAAGTAGAGTTTGTGCAAAGTATTAATCACAGGGTGAATGCATTGCTTGCAGAGTTCAGACAACCTTAAGCTGTATTATGCTTTTTGTTATTCAATTATTGCGGGGTTTATCCTTTTTGGTGGCCTCATAGCTCCCTCCGTAAGTTCTTTATGCATTAACTTGTTGTGATTAGTTATAACAGTTATTCACAAACATTGTTTTCATTTACCGGTCTGACAATACAGTTCTGAATTTGCAAGTGAAAAATGAGGAAACATATCGAATAAGTGCAGTTGTTGGTTATAAAACATGGATTCAGTTTGTAACTCTTTCCTACAATTACCCTTACATCTTCAGTTGGAGTTGAAGTTGGGAATAGGAGGCACATCGTATAAAGATTTTATAGTAAATATGCATCTGCCATTGCAGTTGAGGTATGGCACTATCTTGACATGAAGCCTAATAATGGTAATACTATATTGTTACCAGTTTGGTTTATTGATCTCATATACTTTCAAACTGCAGTCAAGTTGATCCCGTAGTGGCGTCGTTCTCTGGAGGAGCAGTCGGAGTGATCTCAGCATTGATGGTAGTTGAAATAAACAATGTGAAACAGCAGGAGCATAAGCGATGCAAATATTGTCTTGGAACTGGTGTGATAATGTCCTATGTTTCTCACTTTTAGTCATATGTACTGTAGCTTTAAATATATACGATGGAAAGATGTTTGGATTGGTTTCGTATGTCAACTACCAAGTGTATTTGATACTTATGCAGGATATCTTGCTTGTGCTCGTTGCTCCAGCACTGGAACCCTTGTTCTTACCGAACCAGTTTCAACAGTTGATGGCGGAAACCAGCCCCTTTCACTGCCAAAAACTGAAAGATGTTCAAATTGCTCAGGAGCGGGAAAGGTTAGACATATAATTATGGCCGTTGAATTGAATGTTTACTGCATACTAAATTCCTCTTCTTGCCTGCCGCTTAGATGCACTTGTTTCATCATATACATTGAGGAATAGCTGATTCACATGTTTGGTGACTGTTGTGTTTGTCGAGCACGTGAAAGACATTTCGGAAGAAAAATAATTGACTGGAAATGGAGTTTAAGATAATTTAGTAGCAAATTTTTGAGAGGTGACTTCCAAATGGAAAATATCTAACATTGCATCTGCAAATGTGGCAGGTAATGTGCCCGACATGCCTTTGCACGGGAATGGCGATGGCAAGTGAACACGACCCTCGGATCGACCCCTTTGATTAGAAGCGCAACGCCATCGTTAGTCGTTCCCTTACCACTTACAATCTTCTCTCTCTCTCTCTCTTTTGATGCAAATGCAATACGTACATCCTTTCATAAGTCGTGACATGAACAAGGAACTTCTGTGTATATCAACTGTTCAAGAATTTGACCAGACATCTGAATGCGATTCAAATATTTCCTTTCCTTCAAATTTGTTTTGAAAAATTGAAGAATCGACTTCTTCCGAGGGATCGCCTTTGAATCAAAACTGCTTTGTTGCTCGTCCCAACAGTTAACGAGGGAATTGTTATTAGCATTCACAAAAGTTAGAACACCACCAAAATCAAAATTTTGGAGAAAACGTTGGCAAAAGTGGTAACACACATATATGTGTGTTGCCACTTATATATATAAACATAAACATAACATGAACATAACCTGCATATTGCACACACAAATACTTGTAATATCAAGATATATACAGACAATAGAATGAAAATGCCAACTCTGCCAAGATTTATAGTGGTGAAACCAAACCACAACAGCAAATACTTTCGCCACACACGACGGAAATCTTGATGGTACGCCAGCTCCGGGGTTTCTCAATTTCACCGGAGAGAAGGCTGGGAGCCATTACGCCAAGTTCGAAGTGGAGATGGCAAAGAGTAACGGGAATGAAGGACTAGTCCGCATCAGATGCTGTTACAACGATAGAGGTGGAGCTCTCGCATACAAAAACGAGTAGTACACTGAAGTAGTCCCAACATTTCGTCGGTATTTTAAGTTTGGTAGGTCAACGGCAACATCCAAGCCGGCTTTCCTGTAATCGCAGATGATGGAAAGGTCAAGAGAGGGTTTACAGCAGCATTCAAGTTTGGAGAAACTGAGACAATACTGAGTAATGCACAGGAGGCTGCGCACAAGGTTGTTCCGACACCCTTAGTTGCTGGGAAGTAATTACCATCAACATGGATGATGGCGTTTACACTGGTATCAATACCTTCGACATGAAGTTCGACACCAACGAAGAAATATCTTCTCATCCAATGCTCAGCACTATATTCTCGGAATTTCACAATATAGTTTAAATGGGTACATTATTCTTCAGAAAATTTACATATTTTGTGTGTTTTATTACCAATCCTACATTCGATACCATTGAATTTATTGGTAAAAATACATTTCTGTAACGATCCTCCGACGGTAGACCTTCGTCTTTCTTCTTCAACCACTTTCTTCACGGAATTGCTGATGTCACCCAATGCCCAAGCTACCGATATGTGAGGGCGCGGATCCTGTGATCACCAACACCCCATTAAGTGATTTAGTTTTTTGAGCAATGATTAGTATTCAGACACAATCATTTGCTCCAATATATTGTCTTATATTCAGTAAGTAATTTCAAGTTTGAAAAGCACGAAAAAGCTAACCTTGTAAAATTCAGGAAGATTGTGAAGCTTGTACACCTCATTCACAGCTTGAATCTGCTTTGTTATCTGAAATCAATGGAAGTTGAAATATTTCAGACTTGTAGACAATGAAAGCTGATTCAACCGTGCATTAATACGAAAACAGGAATGCTTCTAGTAACCACGTTTCACTCCTCCAGGATATCAGGGTGGTATGATGGGCCGCAAGGGGCGTGGAGGGTACGAGTGGTGTTGCAAGTCACGAGCAGAGTTGTTGGGTGGGTGGGTCATCGTTGGGATGTCGCGGATCTGTTTCACGTTTTAAATCCCATCGTTCCTAGTCTAGTTGAGACAGTCTACACCAATCATTAGACAAAAAACCTAACCTATCCAGTTCAATCCCAACCTAACTAGTATGAAATGCCAATTCCAATCTTGTCCGGCCTGCCAAACGTGCCCTGAGTTTCATAGGCTTATACTCACATGACAGGATTAGGAACATGATTTACGCCAGGACAACACATGTTAAAACCATGAGCATATCATGCATTAGTTTTCGATTGTGTTTTTCATGTTACAAGTGCATCGAAGACCAAACATCTAAGCTAATAAGCAAGCAAGATATCAATATTTCAAAATCCCATGACTTTCCACAAGTACTTACTAAATCTTAAGCCCATATAAGAACTGAAAAAATTTAGAATTGCACCAAGAGAGAAAGCTAGCAATCATACCTCAGCTAACCCAGCAGCAATGACTTCGATCGACACAAAGGTCCGGGTCTGATCATCGTTAACAAAAACCTCCCACTTGCTAAAATCAATCCAATACCTGTTTCACAATAACAAAATGTGTTAAACCGAAAATGGACGAAAAATTTGCAGGCTTACAGAATTATGTTAAATAACAGAACTAAATTCACGCAATGCAGACAAGAGAATGTAAATGTAACCATACCGCCTCTGAATCTGAAGCTTCTGCCGCAGCATTGTCACCAAGGAATCAATCTGGTGCACCCGAATCGGAACAGTTCTTCCGAGACTTATATGGAACTCTCTGCCTAAAGCAACCTGTTCAAGCTTACGCTCGTCCTTACGCAGAACGTCAAGCGGGACGTCAACGTCAACGGCATGGAGACCAGGCACCAGAGAAGCTAGCTTGTTCAAAAACAAGGCCATCTCTTTCCTCGGTGCTGGTGGTATATGAACTGGAACCACACAATTAAACAAGCAAAAACTAAGTGCAAAGCGAGGGCATTTGCTAATAGAGCTGAAAAATTCGAGAATTTTGATTACCTGGGATGTATACATGTACTGCGTAGTTCCCTTCGACGTGAGCAAAGTTCCGAACTCTGCTCGGCTGGGCGCTTGGGGAGAAGTCCAGAAATCCTTCAGAGGCAAAACACCAAACACTTGGTGGTCAACTCGGAAAAAGCCATCACAACAGAAAGCTAAAAGATAGAAAATTGATGGGAATCAGAGGTTACCGAAGGAATTGGGGCTGTCGAGAAGTGACAGAGGAGGTGGAGGCAGCGCAGTGGTCGGTTCTTGAGAGTTTTTGAGCTCTGAAGGTGGTGGCGGAGGTGGAGCCGGCGACTCGGAGCCTGAGTCCGACGACGAGTCTCCGTACGAGGCAATCAGGGCCTCCATTTCTCTCTCGCGCTAAAAGCGAACCGGTACGTTGTTAACTTGGGTAACTAGAAGCAGAACTAGAAGACCGGAGATAATGGGCCTGACAATTGGGCCCACTAGGCCCAGGCCCAAGGATTTCGAACAGCACGATTAGGAGGGGAAAAAACCGAAGAAAAAACGGACACATTTGGTCTTCTTCGCTCCCTCTTCTTTCTAGGGTTGCCTGGTCAGGCCGTCAGGCCAAATCCTCCGTCGGAATCTTCAAAGCAATGTCCAAAGAAAACGTTCAGACGTACGGCGGAGGGCTCACGGCGGAACAAAGAAACCGCATCTCTCGAAATTTCAGAGCCGCCAAGGCCCTCATTGATCGCAAACGCCCCCGCAACGACGCCGTTTCACCTGATCACCACCTCCCTCATACCAAGTAAGTCGTTCAGGAATCAAAGATTTCATCTTCTTATTATTTTTTGGTACTCGGCTGTTTTCTTGCTTCAATTTAAGTCAATTCAATTGTGTTTTTAAAATTCCAGAATTTGTGGCGGAAATGGAATCCAAACGCCAGCTCAGCTCAATAGAGTTCAAAGAACTCCTCTTGCCGAGCTACCGATGAACACACCGCCTCCGATTTCCGCAAGCCGGTACAATTCAGCGCGTGGTGAATATGGCAGTGCTTCGTGTTCCGGGAGCTTAAGCATTAGCCGGATTGAATCAAGCGTGTCAAAATTGGATTCTTTCACAACTCCAATCGGACAACCGCATTTTCCGACTTCATTCAGTTCTTTCTCTGCACGTGGAATTCTTGGCGATGATGATTTCGATGAGAGTATTTTGCAGGAAATTGACGCTTTAATCGAGCAGAAACCGAGTGTGGACATTCAGCGTGATGATATTGGGAGTTGTGGTAGTGATGTTAGTGCCGCATCAGCGCCGCCTTTGAGTAGTGAAAACCAAACAGATTCTGTTAACCATGGATTGCCTAACATGCCGGATGAGTATTCGAAGTATTTGCTATCTCTTAATGAAAGGCAGCGCGAGGCAGCTTGCAGCGATATTTCTGTACCTTTGATGATTGTTGCCGGCCCTGGAAGTGGAAAGACTTCAACGATGGTTGGGCGCGTTCTAATGCTGCTCAATGAGGTCTTGCCACTTTCCCTCCAACTTTTTCTTTAATGTCTGTTTATCTACATTTCCTGTTTATGATCGAAGTCTTATTTGTTTTCTTTTGTGTTCTTAGGGCATTAGCGTGTCGAACATTCTAGCAATGACTTTCACTACAGCAGCAGCTTCCGAGATGAGAGATCGAATTGGAGCCGTGACTAGGAAACCAACGGCAAAACTACTTACAATCAGCACATTTCATTCATTTTCGTTGCAACTTTGCCGATCACATGCTGAGAAGTAAGCTATACATTCACCTCCCTTGATTTTGAACGGCATACATATGGTGGTATAGCTGAGTCTGATATGTTGGCTTATGTTTTAGACTCGAACGCACACCAGAATTTTTGATATATGGACATGGGCAACAGAGAAGAGCAATCATTGAAGCTGTGCGGTTATCAGAAGACGAAAAGAGTAAAACGAACCTTAATGTTGCTATAGATGGGGAAGAATCTAACGGTGTAACATCTCCACATCATTTTAAGGATGCATCAAAGAAATGGCGGAAGTTTGTGACACAGGTTAGTCTTGAATACCAAATTTAATGTTCAGATTATAGTGGATTAAAAAAAAAATTAGCTACAGTCAAGCTATAATGACCAATATAAGGGTTCTTCTGTCTTAGAATATTTGGCATTAGGCAATAAATTTATTTATGTTTCAGGCAAAAGCTTCTGGAAAGACTCCTGCTGAATGCCGAAGAATGGGTGATGTGACAGGAGTAAGCTCATAACTAGATATTTCAGATATCTTTTCAGTTCTCGGATACTATTGCTTACGAGTTTTAGCTCTCAATCTGAATCAGGGCGAAATTCTTAGGAATTACAATGATATCTTAAAATCGTGCAATGCTTTGGACTACCACGCCTTAATTAGCTACTCTGTGAAGCTGCTAAGTGATTTTCCTGAAGGTCTGTATCATCTAAGTATATTTAGTTGATTCATCTCATTTAACAAGGAAAGCTAAATGTTGATACATGGTGTCTGTTAACTAGTGTTGAAGGAGTGCCAGGAGTTATGGAAAGCTATAGTAATAGATGAGTTTCAAGACACAAGTGCTATGCAATATAGTCTTTTGCGGATTCTCTCATCTCATAACCATATAGTCTATTGTTGAGCACAATGTACAAAAAACATAATTGTGTTCGTTTATCGATCATTTTTCAAGACACAAGTGCTATGCAATATAGTCTATTGTTGGTGATGATGATCAGGTATGTTGTTGATTTATTAATGGAAGTTCAATTTTATTGCTCTCTCTCTTTCTCTCTCTCTCTCTCTCTCTCTCTCTCTCTCAGCTCATTCTAATCAAGCCCTTAGCTGTTCTGCATTAAATAATGTATATCCTGCTGCAGTCCATTTTCAGTTTCAATGGGGCAGACATTTCTGGTTTTGAGTCTTTTCGTAAAGATTTTTCAAATTACAAAGAGGTACGATTCGCACTTGACTGCTATGTTATCTTATGTCATTCACAGTGTCTTTTTTATTATATATAGAGCAAATGTATTGTATAACTACAGTTTATCTTATGGAGTCTGTGAGATTTGACATAACTTTATGGTTCAGATTAGGCTTAATAAAAACTATCAGTCCACACGCTATATTGTGGAAGCTGCATCTTCTGTTATAAAAAACAATAAGAAGCGATGCCAATTAAAGAATGTTGACACCGACAATTCTTCTGGGTCTAAGGTACTGAATCTTTCCTTGCTCCAACAAGTACATTTGATGTCATTTTTCAGTCCTTTTAGTTAGTGACACTTCAAAATGGTTTTAGTGGCAAAATGTAGGTAATTATCAAGGAAAGTCACAATGAGGATGCACAATGTGCCCTTGTTGTTGAGCTGGGGCTCCTATGGAAGCATAGCAATCCTTTACCAGAGGCAGGTCAAGCTTACTTTCCCTAGTACTAATGTGAATGAGGTGAATCATATAAGACATTTTTGACATATTTTCTTTTGTATTTTATACTATCAGGAAAAGTCTTCCAGTTCCAGACAGCCTTGCGTGAAAGGAAAATACCATTTAATGTTCATGGAGTGGCCGTTTATAGGAAGAAGGTAGTTAGCATTTGTCCACATTATGAAAACCTATCTTCTCAGATTTATCCATCTAATTTTGCTAATATTGTTTTGCATAAGGTGGTTTTTGCTATGTAGAACTCAAGTTAGAAAGAATGCACACAAGAACTGTAATAGACTTAAGCTTTTCGCCTTTTCCACCTGAATTTTGGCATCACTGGTCCTTTTAATTGTTTTTTGTACTTGCTTTTTCATTGCCTTTTGGCCAGCTATTCTATCTAAGATTTTGCTACATATGGTTTTAGTACACTCTGATAATGTTTGTTGATGTAGCACTTTTCTTATGGCAGGTAGTTAGAGCCATTATTGCTATGATTAAAACGACTTTGCCTGGTTGTGATGATGGATCATATAGGCAAGTCTTGAAGGCTTTACTTCCTTTTGAGAAAGAGGAAAAGAAGAAGGTATACGTTCGATGACAATGATGAATGAGCATCATATTTAATGTTCTTTTCAGCATTACAGTTGTATGTTCTTGCTATCCATCTAATCTTCCTTTTTACACGCTCAACCTTTAGGCTCACATCTCTGGAAATCACACTCTCTCTCTCTCTCTTCAGGTGATCGATTATATCGACAAAATTTTGACTCATAGAAAATGCAGCTTCATATCAGCTGCTTGTGACATCTTTAGTGCAAAAATTTCTGGTACCTTGAAGAGGTCTGTATAACAAAGATGTTTTAACTTACATTTTTGCATGGTTAACTAAAAATATATTCATGTTTCATTCTTATTTGGTATTACAAGTTTTTAAAATCTGTTGGATATGTATTGATTGGTCTCTTTACTTGATAATAGGACTCAGCTTACCCAAGGACGCAAGGTGCTGTTAACATTAGAGATGATTTCAAAACTTGTTCTCAGCGTAAATATATTTGGTATAGTGTAGCACCTCTTACTGCTTATTGGCATGATGTACTAGTAGTAGTTTGCGAATCACAACAGATAAAAAGGATATAGCTTCAAGTGAGATTCTGTTTCCTTGGTGATTTTTTTAGTTTTATTGGACAGTTATATACTTTATGCCTTCTTGTTATTAGAAGGAAGAGTATTTTTTGCTCCCATGCATTATTCTTGATTCATCAATGTTAATCCAAAATGTTATATTCTTTGTTAGATCTTTGTTTCCAAAGAGATATAGTTTGTTCCATGGAATCTGTCTTTATGTAGTTTTGAATCTATATGGTAGTCTCACTTATCAATGCACACAGGAACAATCGATTTCAGCTGTCATAACCTCAGTTGCGTATATGGTACCACAGGTTTGTCTTCCATTTCTCCACTGTTGAATGTTGATATGGCATTTTTTAATCAAATTGCCTTTAATCATATTTGTGGATGAGGATCACCATTCCATAACATTATCTTTGTTTCATGCTTATATTCAATGTTTCTTATTTAATTTCTCGTTTGACTTTCAATTTTTAGAAGTACCTTCTTGGGCAACGTGCCGTCATGGATGTAGATGGAGGAAAACTGCTGAATGAAGACAATGACATGAGATCTGTAAGTTATGATGATTGTCATTTATACAATAAGCTTAAAAGACCCACTATTTGAGAAACCCTTTTTTCAGTCAACAAGGTTTTAAATGAATAATTGCTCTATTTTATTTAGTTAATCAATTGCTGTCACTTAAATCTTGTTGCGATGTGATTATTCTCATTGCAGGTTCTTCAGTACCTACTGGACGACATATCTGATTTCTTATCAACTCATTTTGTTGCGGGAGAAGGGGAGAGAGAAGTCATGGCAGAAGAAAAAGGCTGTGTTAATTTACTCAAAGCTTTCATCGACTACATATCTGAGCGGGAGAGTGAA